TGTTATCATGCTCATATTATGGCGGTATTATGACGTAATTAGAATGTCAAAAGTGACTTTTCAAAATTATTTTCCTTTTCGTTATTTTTTGCTGTTATAAGATAAAGAAAGTAGGCTATCAAAAAAATAGTTTCTCTTTATTAATCCCCGGTCCGACAGCGTGGAGCGCCATTACGGGACGGTGGTTGTCATTCCGCCGGCCTATTTATCCCTGCGGAAAACAAAACATTAGCGAAGTCAAAAGTTCATCAATGACCGAGCGCGTGGGATCCCGTGCTTGGTTGGGTGGGTGGTAATCCTCACAGATCGCACAATATAGCGAACTGTGATGAATAGGGAACACTGATTTCCCCAATTTAAAATTTGCATCATAACGACTGCATGACGAAAGCGAAATAGCAAACATTTCTTGATTTGATGATTTCTTGCAAATATATTTCATTTCTGCAAGAGTTTCTAAATTTCGAAAGCTTTTTGTGAAAAAAGCGAAATAATTGCTAAAGGACGAAGCAAAGGCGCCGAGATTGACGAACGTAAGTTTGTTTTAAATATTGTGGTGCTGATTGCTTTAGAATTGCTTTAATTAATAAAAGCTTATCGTTGCGTTATATTTTATATGAAAATTGTCCCATTACCTATTTTACTCCAAAAGATGTAACGAATGTTGGAATGTGGTGAGTCCTAAATATTCTAGATGAAGGTAGAGCAATTTGAAAATATAGGTGTTGCGATCGGGGGCGCCTCTAAAAAAGTTCAATATTTTGTATTTATTACCCACCGGTTCCTAAATCATAGTATAAACGAATACAATGAAAGACATGCGATAATTTTTGTCTTTTGTCACTACCGATAGACATCTTATGGTATCCATGCATATATTTTTTAAATGTGCAGAAGACACCGTCAGTTACAATCGGTAAGCTGACAATGATGATGTCATCACTGATTGAAAATGAGTTTCTTCTACCTCGAAAACGTTGTTTCTTTCTTTCCCAACGACTATCGCCCCATCGTCCCACAATTCTGCCTTTTCTTTGATCCCAAGTTCTCACGTTACTTGTTGTTCGCAGTCCTGTTTCAAACAACCCTTAGCTACCAATAGAATGCGTCCGCTTCGAAATAACCAATTCAACACATCCACTAATTTTCCTAGTCAAATTTGAATAGGGAAATGTTTTAAGTAAAGAACTTAAGAATATTAAGAAATAACTGAGGAAATGATTGGACACGGAGAAGGAGAATGCTATGAATTGCTTTTCCCAAACTTTCTCGGAATAGAAAGCAAAATTAAGAACAGGTCTGCTTGGTTGAGAACGGCAATTTGAAAAACTGAAATGGAAAAAAGGTTCAGAAAATATTACGGGTACTTGGGCTTGCCAAATTTCCCGTAAATGCTATATAATACATTTCTTGGCTCGCTTGTTTCGTCATAACTTATCGTGAGCGAATACAATAAAAGACTAATTTATGTGCTATTAAAACCGATAGACATTTATGGTAAGAATGTATATTTTTATAGGCGATGTACAGAAGACATCATCAGTTCTAACCAGTAAGATGACAATGATGCTGCCATCACTAGTTGGAAATCCTGTTTCCTCTCCTTTGATGAATTCGTTCCTTTCTATTCCAACGTCCATTACGCCTTCGTACACCAATCTTGCACCTTCCTTGATTTCAAGTTCTCAAATTTATTCTTCTGCCATTAAAGCCACACTGTCAGACGATCCAGATATTTAAACATAACTGTTATTACAATTTAAACTTGGCAAACATTAAGCTTCCGCATGACAATGTTTTCAAACACTACGTATCCCATGCATTTCAGTCATCAAATTCGCTCGAACTTTGAGTAGTAAGAGTAAAAAAGCGTGCTCATGTATGAAATAACCCTTAGCTGTCAATAGAATGCTTCCCCTTAGCGATATCCGATTCAACAAATCCATTGATTTTTGCTACTCAGGTATCAATAGGGAAATGTTTGAAGGAAACAACTTAAGAATTGTAATGAGGATCTCAGGACGTTTGAGCACGAAGGACAGTGCCACAAGTTGATTTCAGCAAAGTTCCTCGAAAAGAGTATAAACATTTTACAGATCGCATTTAGGCCTACTCTGGGGCGGTAAATCGCCTTAAATTGCATTAAATCGCGTGTTAAAATTGTCGAATTTTTCTTAAATCGCCTAGAATCGCTTAAAATGGCCAACATGCATTCTGTTTGATACAATCGGTCCATGTACTCAAGTTTATCAATTGCTGCTATTTTACGGACAAATCATGTAATCCTGGTGCTTTGCAATCAAATAAGTGGATTAGGCTGACAATATTTGGTCACTCAATAGGCACCGGTCATTGACAAAAACAGAGCCTTTTCTGCTTTATACAGACTTTACAATAATTAGGTAATTCTGGGATCTGAAAGACCCATAGATCCCATACACTACCAGCAACAAAATTGAGCTAGTTACCAGAATGAGTTAATTTCATTATTGGTGTAAATGGAGGCTCGGCTACAATTTATATGGACTATGGAGGCTGGGCTACAAATTAATCTATAATCTACATGGCTTCTCAAAGCCTAATTGCTGTTAATTAGAACAACAGTAGGAGACTAGGAAAGTCAATTAGTACGAGTGTTGATTTATATAATAAAGTCATCCTGTAATTTGTGCACTGTTGCATGTAACATCGAGCACTGCATTGTATACAATGGTTGTACTTTGACATGTGCATGGTTATACTCTAGCTCCTAGTTATAATTATAGTGGCTATCAAACGAAAATTATACGTGAGGTTATGAGCGATTTGCAACTCTCTTGTGTTAAATTTTCCAGACCTGTATATACAATAAACAGTAAAACAATGATTACATCGTACACACCATACAATAGATCTTTTGTCGTTGTTTGTTTGCAGAACATAACCGCGATGTAGTGCGCCATTTGTTTAATACTGTATTATTTTGTTTTTAATTTTAAAATAATTTAGAAATTAGAATTCCTACCATTTATATACGATAAACTTCATGTAATCTAAACATTACGGCATTACGTCGACAGTCTCCGAATGCGTGACGATACTGTTTCTGGATATGGCACTGAGATATAATATAGATATAAAAATTATATAAAACATGTTTGTAGCATGAAGAATTTCGAAAGCACGAGATTGAAACAGTTTAAATAAAATGCAAGCTAAATAAAGAAGTTTTGACATGATACAAATGTTTAGAAAAAATGAAATATACTTATGAGATATAAATCATATAAATGGGGCTGTGAAAGACACTGTGCCATCAATAACAATCTATTTACATTGTACTTCATATAAACGAAAGCACATAAACACGCAACAGGAGTCCATTATTTATTTTGTTATTTATTTTTATTTTTGTGTATTGTTTCAGAAGCTGCTGGTTTCTTTGTGAAACATGTACAGACAGGGATGTGTATTATTGTCACAAGTAAACTGTTTACCGAACAGAATTGGGGAAATTTAACTTTTGTGAAACTTTCTAACAACTGTTTGGATCCAGCTGCTCGGTCTCATTTTCTTAATAATAGTGCGATGTTCAATTTGAAAAGAAAGGGATGTTTCGAGGCAACAAGACGTTGGATTGTTCCTGATGATTATATTGAAATGTTGTTTTTGCTTCATGCTACAAATCCTTCCGAGAATTGTCGTGATATTCATGCTATAAACCAGACCCCTTGGGGAGGTTTATCTGTACATTTTAACTCTAAGGTGTGGTGTACAGTCCGTATAACAGATTCTCGACTTGCTACAATTTCACGAAAAGATCATTACATCGGATGGACAAATTGTGACAATGCAGAGGATAAACATTTCAATTTTGGTAAGATTTCATTGCACTTAAAAAAAATTATTTGTGGTTTTGCAGTCTACATTGCATATTCCCTTTTTATATTTCTCACGCACCATTGCCGCTATGCTAGCTTAGAGGATAGACTTAACCACTTGAATTTAGACTTACGTGTATGAAGGTGTATAAAAAAGTAGACAATTTTGAAACGCCTCTCAATTTCTCAAATTTTTGGAATTTTTTTTTAATACTTAGCCTATAGTAAAAGTTCAATTTTATCCTGAGAGGAACGTTCTACGTAACAAGTCAATCAAAAACATTGGCATTACAAGATTTGCTGATAGGAATATTTTCATTGCGGAAAGCCTATAGCTAACCCAGGAGAATAAAAAATATCTTCAACAAATGTCTTCAAGTCAAACATATATATTTATTTATTTATTGTGATTCGCTTCCATACAATAATTGTATTAACAAAATTGGGACACCACAACAGCGTAAAGAGTGAGTATCAGGCCCGTGATGCATTGCGCGCTTATGTTTATTTACATGCTTCCGGAAGTCACTTGACATTTCGTGCGATATCATATGAAATATTCCAGTTCTTCGCATTGCTGTGCGAAATAAAGTGATTCTAGTACGATGAATGAATCAGAATCGAACCCAGACTTAACTTTGGAGCGTTACGATTTAGAGGACGATCTATAAATGCGCACGGGTTGCCAGTTTGTATATTGCCAAGGGAAGAACTAACTGGCGTCGAAGCCGCAGCGATTGAACCATTGAATGAACCAACTTTGCTCGCTGACGATGATAGGACACAGGTTAGTTTACGTTATTTTCACCAGCTGTTTCAGTAACAAATAACTGTATACTTGCAGACCTGTATTTACGAAACAACTTCCTGTTAATTTCAGTGGTGTAGCTGCAAAAGCACGTGCAGCAAGCGAAGCGGCAGAAAGAAGCGAGGTTGCCCATGCCGGGATGAAGGTGTGAAATGCACACAAAAATGTTCATTTGGAACTAAAACGCCTAAAGGCAAAAGCAAGCCACAGGGACAGGGAACAGCTGCTTTTGCAAGTGCTGAAGAAAACGCATTTGAACGTCACCAAATTGCAGTGAACGAAGCAAAACAACAGATTACGGTGAGCACATGCATTTTTTATCTCAGAGTTACAATATTGTAAGATTTCTCAGAAGCGTAAAGTGTCTGAATAGTTATGAAGCATATGAATTTTTTACGGCAATCGAACTCGCAACGTTGTGAAGTCACAGTTGATATGCCTGTATGATAGTGCAATCTATTTTACTTATAGCTTTAGTAGCTTCAAAAATGCTGCAGTTGTTCGTTTTGTACTGGAAGAAACACATTTTCAACCGATATTTTTTGTTATAAGCGCCGGTTGCCTGGTTTTATTTTATTACAGATGTTCTCGCAGTATGTATGTTCAAATATGATCTGCATACTGAATACGTTTATACCTTTGAACCTGGGATATAGTTTTGGAATATTAATATATAAGTTACTGACCGAGAGCGAGGGCAGTACGGGAAAATATCCAACCGAGGTCTTGCTGTATTGACCTAGCGATAGCGAGGTCAATACAACAAGACCGAGGTTGGATATTTTCCCGTACTGCCCGAACGGTTGAGGTCAGTAAGTTTTTTATTATATGGCATTGTACGTTTGTAAAAAATGGAAAAAAAGATCACACGAGGGCAAAGTACAAAGTCCGAAACATTTGCAAAAAAGAACAATTGTAAAAAATGTTCTCTTGGTTAGTAAAACTACTCCACAGCACTTTATATATAGAATACTAACATAGTTTGGATAGTATTTCAAGAAAAACCCCCAGGTATTTCGTCATTTAATCAAAGACAAAGACAATTACAAATATGAAAACAATAAAATTAATAAACAGTATGGACAAGTACGTTTTTAGTTCGCTTCATCTCACAAATATGTCTGTTTTTATCGAACAAAAACAGAAATTTTCAGGAAAAAATATAAATCTGTGGCTGATTTAGTTGTATTTTTTATTTAGGATGGTGTCAAATTCCTCGGCTATCTGCAAATAAAATTTGCAGCTCTTCACAAAGTCAAAATACAGCTATTCCTATAAACTGGTTTAATAGTTATAAACATTGTAAAATTTACCTTGTAATTTCGACTTTCGCTAACAAAAACTTATTGAGAACGTTCTTTAACCACAGAAGGTGCTCCTTTTCTTTAGTTTAGGTTTATTTTTCTTCGTTTTGAATAGTTTGAAAGACTTTTAAACTCTTTTTGCCGTTTGAAACTCGGCTCTCGTCGCAGGGCAATAAAATTTGCGTATTGCCCGTGGGCAATACGGGAAAATCCTGCCTCGTCAGCAGCCAATCAAATTGCACGATTCATCAAAACAAATGCTTGGCATATAATAAAGTATTATTTCAGTAAGAAATATAACAGCTTATTTGATTGTATGAAACCTGGTATAGAAGAACTTCTATCCATTTAATTTATGGAAAAATATGTAATCATGCAAACAAAATGCAAACATTGTTTTCTAATTTCCAGGAATTCATCACAACATTGACTGTTGATCAAAAGGACAAAGACTACTTGAACTTTTGACCAATGGAAAGGGTAGTATAGATTACGCCAAAAATATAGTGTAATTCGGCGTAGTCCCCACTGAAATCTCTAACACAAGCCACCTTGGTGTAAATGTGGTGTATGCCGGCCTATGCCTACTGATGAAGTAAACAAGTGTTGTGGTAAAATCACGTGTTTAACATCATATGTTACATTCAGAAACACCTGTACAGACAGAGAGGTTTTGGTCATGGTCTCACTCAAGAACCAGCTACAGAAAGGCTGCATATCGCCAGTACATTCTCTGGCGATACAAAAAGCTGGGAAAGGGTAGTAGAAAGGTGTGTTCATCATTTGTAGTTTTGGCAATTAGATTTATATATACCGCAAATGATGGTGCATACATGGCTTCAAGAGAGCTTGATATTTGTTTTTAATAAATAATAATCTCATACACTAAAAACATTTACAATAATTTGTTCCAGAAACTTTGTATACTTCTCTGAGATTGACATTGTTTCTATGGTTCTTTTTGCTTCTTTTACTTCATCGATGCACCCTCCAGTTTTTTTATCGTTTACTGTAAGCCTTATTATACTTTGGTTTGGCCACTTTTGGTTACAGCTGCTTTTCGAAACACATGTGCATTGTGGTCAGTTGCTGCAAGATACGTCCTCCCTGTAAATGCATCATACCTAGAAGGTCAAACAAATAGACAATTTATGGCTACGCAATATACATTTCCAGTCCCAGTGACCAACATCTGACAAATCTTACTCACTTACCAGCTTATCCTAAAGTCTCTACGCCCCCGCCCTTTCAAAAAAAATCACACCCTTATTGACACAAAGACGCATGTTTTGTTTACCTTTAGGGAGTTTCTTCACACCACTTTTTATAAAATAAATTATTACTTTAGTTTTTATAAATTAAATTATCTAATCATTTTACAGGTAAATGAATAAGCCCCCCCCCCCACATCATCCCTCCCCTCAAAGGTGCCTATAAAAAGTAATATACAATACAGTCATACAGCATAGCGGAAGCATTATTCCAAAACAACGTCAAATACACTTACTGGAATCCTACTCTCTTAGGCACATACTTCAACAACATTGAGTTGAAATTCTCCAAATTGCTAGTGTGCCTAGGGGGGTTCATACATAAATATATAATTAGTAAAGTGTATTTTATTATTGCATATATATTAGATATTAACAATCAATATAAATTTGTTAATATTATTATACACATTGTAACAACAAAGCATAGTATTAGGTGTACCTGAACGTAACATAATGGTACATGCTCCTAACAAAATGCTGGTCAAGTATCACATTACGGACAGCTTCCATTGCTTTGCTAATTTTATTTAGGTATGTCTTGTCTGTTTCACTTGCTACTAAAGGACTGTGCTGGCACTCTCCATCTATCTTTTCATGTTCACCTGCAATGCGATGTAGCATTCCGAACCAGTCATCCTTAAATGGAATATCATAGTTGCATGTAAATAACTTGTATGTTGCCAAATTAAGTCTAAAGGGAAATCTTACCAGATAACAATGATACTAAATAAAACAAGAGTAACCTTAAGTTTCTCTTCTTCCCCATTAGAATTTTGACAAACAAACCAAAAATGGTTCCTGATTGGTTCAGACCACTGGCCCACTATTTCACACCATATAACTTTGGCAGCCTAAAATAATTATGTTGAAATAAAAAATGACAGAAACTTTTTACTGAAATGTACTTTAATGAACTATTAATAGCTCAATGAAGGGCCTCCCAGCACATCAGATGTGGTAATATCTTAAGCTGCAAGTTGTTTTTAGATTTACCCCAAACAAATGTGTGCAAATATGACTTGGAGAAACATCATCACTCACTGGCTCTCCGACAAATTGATAACGCAAAAGGGAAATTTGGCAACTTTGGATTTGATAAGACTTATGAGAGAGAAGAATATGATACCAGCAACGCTCATTGACAATCCGACGTTGCACTCCATCATATTGACGCAAATCATACTGGAAACATTAACGGGTATAATCGTACCTCGGGCCCCCCAGGGAAACACCTTTACCTACCATATGAACGCGAAAGAAATGATGATGTTTGGCATGGCTAGAAAAGATTAAAAGCAGGTCGGGGCACTGGAAAAAGAAACGGGGATGAACTTGGATCATTATCACAAACTGAACATTAGAAATTAGCATTGAGATCAAACGATCTCGTAAAAATATTTATTTCAATTGTTATTAGTACCCGTAAGGTAATGTTTTGTAATCATCTAGAATAAAGCGTTTATCATAAACTATTCTGTTGTCTATAAGTTCTTTGAATGTTTGCATGGCGATAAAATATAATTGTTTTTGTTTGTGGAAACACCACGTAAATTTATTACTGATAAATTAATAAATTTACGTGGTGTTTCTACAAACAAAAACAATTATATTCTGTAGTCTGTTCTCATGCGTTTTGTTTCAATGTTTTTGGTCCTCGTGTTCCGAGTTAACTTTAACGGTAAATCCACGGTAACTTTCCCTGTAATATTACATTTGGCATGAAGATACACGAGCGAACGAACGACATCAAATTTAAATTTCTGCATGGCGGTACAATTCAAGGTAATCCCTCGTATCATCGTCTCGATCTTGTTGGTACTGGTCTTGTAGCAGTAATTCTTCGGTCCGCCCGAAATGAAGGTGGTGATATGTCCTTCTTTCAATTCGTTGATCAATTAGCCGAGGTAAGGACCTAGTGGAGGTTCTGGTTCGTCGGGTTTGCTAACAAATATCACCGAGTCAGTGTCGTAATACAACATTCGCTCTTGAAGTTGATCCAACACCCCGTAGAGTTTAGACGGGCATACGCTGTGGTAAAGGCGGCGATGGCTACGTTCGTTTTGACATTGGGTTCGATGAAATTCTGGTTGTACTGGTAACGAAGCTCGACCATTTCGTCGCTTACGAAGAATCTCACGTCGAGAACATTGATTTCATCCGACGATAGGTAGTCAAAATACACCTGTGGATCTTTAATCAGTTCCACCTTGGCCATATTGGACCGTTGCGCGAATTTTCCTAAGGGAAAAATCTATTGTAAGTGCCTGTAAAAGATAAGTTTACCTCTCCGTCCTTGCGAGAACATTACCATTTAAAAATACATACCCAAAACGAATTCAGCATCAGTTTCGACAATCACGCATCCCAGGATTGTGTTCAATCTTTTCTCGATCTAATTGTATTCCTTTGACAGCCAAGTATTCGCGTATTCTGTTCCTCGGTGGTACAATTCTTGGGATAACCACTGGATTCTTGTTTGATTTTGAGGAAAGTGTCCACATAATCTTTGAACAGCGCGTCGGAGGTTTCGGGAAAATGCCACACTTCGCGCATTTGGAGGATACGGTAACCTTTCTCCACGGCTTTCTCTAGTTCTACGCTACACCAGGTTCCTTGGATAGCTCGTTCACGCTCGGAATGAGTACAAGGGGCTTGGTTACACGTATCAGCGCAGGCCTTGCACAGGGGAAACATCAGTTTGAGGATGGAAAAGTCCACAAGGTGGTAATACCGTTAACTTGATCAAGCTAAAGTACGTGGTAATATCATCAAAGTTTTTAGTGATGATACAGGGTCGACAAACGACCGTTTTGGTCATCTTGTTACACCATGGATAGAGACTGGTAAAGTCGACGTACCTGTAAGAAAAAAGGACATTAGACTCTCGTTCCTAGGCTTATTGGGGTGCAGTAACAGCATACATTATCTTCTCATCATCTTTGCATTCGTGGAAGAGTTTCGTTGCGTCGGTTCGACCACCATAGAAAGGATGTCCTGGTTCCAAAGGGTCCACCGCATCGTAATCCTCGAAGTACTGTTTCATGTCTTCGTCGAGTTCCAAATCCTTCTTCATGTCGCACTCCCACATTTCGACAACATGGAGGCCATGATCTTTAAGGTACTGGGTCTTCTCCATGATAGCCTGCTGAAGATCATGAATGGCCTTTTCGCTGACTTTGTTGACCGTGTCCCTTGCATAACATTTCAAACACCCTGTAAAATGTTTAGTTAAGGCATTGTACCAAAATAACATGCGAAAATCCGAAAAAACTTACCGTGCCAAAAACAACCATATATGGAACTTATACGCTGTATGTGTCTCCTCGTCGTAACCATCCAACGAATAGCGGCCAGCAGTCTTCTCTCCACCATTCGGCTTATGCTGACTGTACATATCATTTCTCTCGGCTGTGTAAGATAACTATTTCAACGCGATGTTGGATTGCTTGAATCCTGGATGATAACCGGCCGTGCGGTGGCAAAATGGCAATGGTGTTTTCTTTAAGGAAATTCGTCCGAAACACGAGATTGCACGCCGACGCAATGGTTAGGCATTTCAATGTCCAATGGCAGGTGAATGTCCGTGACTTCACGGAACAATTCGCGAAATTCAAGGCAACAACGTCGAAGGATATCCACATTCGATCGACAGTAGCTCAAGATTTCTTCTTGGAAATTAAATACATAATTGTTCTCTTTCAATTCATGATGCCATCCCAAGAATGTCTCTCTCTCTGCTGGAATCATTCCATTGGGATGACAATAAGGACTCGGTGGTAGGGATCCGGCATAATTTTAATTTTCCTTTCTGTTGAAGAGGTGAGGGAAATATCCTTTTGCCAACTCGTTCAAGCCAAAGGTATTGGGAAAATCAGCCAGTCTCATTGGTATAAAGCTCAAGGAATCGATGAATTTAATCTTGAGCATAGGCACATACAGCGTAAGGATCATAGCACCACGCATGATGACTTCAGGAATAACACCGTTCTCGTGTAGGTATTGTTGGATGAAATAACCATCATAACCTTGAAAGTTATGGGCCACCACGATAATCCTTCATGCTCTTTCGTGAACAGCCATTCGCAGAACTCGTTCCTGATATTATCTCCTTCAAAGATCCACTCGTCACCTGCTTCAGGCTGTATCACGCACAAATTCGGTTCATGAATCGCATTCTCTTGGATGCACTCGAAATCGAAGAACAGTAATTCGTTGTATCCGCTTCCGTGGACGTCCTCATCCTCTTCATCATCACACATGTCGGTTTCGCACGCAGGTTTTTCCTTCGCAAGTTGCATGAAACACTGGTGGTCTTCGATGCCCACATAATTTTCACAGGTCGAGCAACATTTCAGTCCGCAGTGATGCAAATCAGGCCTCAGTCGAGTCCGAACAAAAACAAGATATGATTACGGTAAGAACTTTTGGCAGTGGACAGACAGATAGATTTTGAATTTCCTACATTTTTTTGTGCCGATCGAAACATTCTTGACTTTTGAAAATACGATTCCAATCACTGCATAAAGTCCACGAAACAATGGGACAATTTTGAAAATGGCACAATTTACACGTATCTCCGCATAAATGACTTCTTACATGATCATATCCCTTTTTTCAGGTATGGCAATACATTTTACGAGCAACAAAAGCCGGCATACTTGTAATCACATCGAAATGATTGTCATGCAAAAACAAATAAATCCTTTTCTCTTTATCAGGTCCGGGAAAAATAACAGAATTTTGATGCTCTTTCGAAAGAATGTTGATTTTATAATCGGTCAAATACGTTTGAAATTGTTTGACTTCGTCCATACCGCAAGAACCTATAGCAACACTTGCTTTTTCGTGCAAATCATCCTTTTCAGTTTTGGCGATCGAAACAACAAGTGCTCGAGCTAAACATAATTCGTCCTTGTTCTGAATACGAACAATTGCCTTTTTATTGATCAAATATTTGCATTGTTAGAGCAAACACCCCTAGAAAGTTATTAAATCTTTCCATCCAAGTATAATCCTCGATGGAGGACTATAACATGAAGCAACAAGTAACTTCATATCAGAGGCAGTCGTTAATTCAACTACCGTAACTTCTATGTGGATCTCTCGCGCAGATTTAAAAGATGACTTTACAGCGACCAACACTCCACCTCCAGGAGATTTTCGATCGTTCCTGAATATCGTGTAGCCCGAGTATAAAATTTCTAAGTTATTTGGCCCAGTGTCCTCCCTCAGCCATGTTTCGTTCACACAGACAATGTCACTGTCCTCAGCGTACACTAAGTTCTGGAAGCGCTCCATATTACTACAATCCTCTTCGCTATTGTTTACTCCGTGAAAACTTGTTAAGCTTCTAGCATTAAAGGAGCAGTGTCACCATCTGCGCATCTTTACTGCGCACGCGAAACTTGAAAAACTACATCCTGTAGTTTTTCAAGTTTGTTTTTCCAAGATGGCGGATGCACATGGCGAGACGCACGGCGGTAAACGCCGCAATTCTGGCCGAAAAAGAAAACACAGCGGATCAACTAGTTCACAGTTAAACTGGAACGCTCGACATAAAAGACTTTACTTATCTATCAAAATATTTGAGATGTGGAAAGAGTCCAAAATCGTTGCTGGATACGGCTCAGGTACCGATAGTGATTTTGCCGCACATTTGCTCTCGCTGGAATACCGTAGAAGGTAAGCATTATTTGTATATTTGATTCATTTCTTTAGTTATTCGCATAGTATATGTTGCTGATATTAG